AGTCCGGAGTTTTGCAAATATTTCAGTACCACTATGGCTATACCTATTACTTCCAAATTGTGTACGATCTAATTTTTTATTATATGACAAATGACGCAAACCTCTAGTATGGCTGTCATTTTTTACTGGGATATTTGATAGATGACGCATGTGTATGGATAGTTCCAGCAAGAGCACAGTTTCTTTTCATTTCTTTCAGTTCAGTCGTTCATCATGTACTCTCTTTCATACGCGGTAGTGCTTGTGAGAGTTATTCTATTACATTCTAAATTCATTTTGCATACATTTTTGAGCTATCTATTTTAAATAGATACTCTCGTCCAACAGTTGGCCTGACCGGCTTAAGTGAAGCGGTTAAAGCATGGAAATCTTGTCGTTTTGCTTTCTTTCTTTCTTTCTTTCTTTCTTTCTTCTTCTTCTTGATTTCAAATATGACAATAAAGGTAGTGTATTATAAACATTGGAAGATCTTCGTCGATCGTAGATCACTAAAAGTGTAATTTTTTACCCGGATGGTGTGGTGGTGAAGTACGCTGCCCCGGGTAAGGACAACAGCGCGCGTTCGTTCCCCACCGCATACACCTGCGGTCCGGAGTTTTGCGAATATCTCAGCATTGTATACGTGTAATTTTTTATTTTATATGACCCATCTTCACGTTTACCGTGTGGGTCGTGGCACTTCTTACATACGATTCGCTTCCTCGCATCCATTGTTCACGCAGATCTTCCAACTTTTAGCTGCGGCTTCTGTTGCTACTTGAGGATTTTCATTTTATCTTGAACGTAGAATTCTGGTTGAACCATTTTCCCTAGAGTCTTGCGATAACCGGACTGAAGCGTTCCCAATTGGATTGCATAGAGTGATTTTTTCCCAGACAACTCCGGTACCCATTTCTTAACTCCGAAGCGTCGAGAGGCTTGACTGGTTCGGAACGGAATCGAACGAGCACTCTGCTCGTGATGGTGGACATCACTACCACTGTGCTATCCGTTCTCCTTATCCTCTAACTAAAAGTGTTGTAGAAGGTGAACTATAAAAGGACTTATAAACGCTTAGTGCAGAGCTGCTTTTTAAGGCTTTTTGCTGCAATTATAAGAATTATAACAGAGAAGGCGGAATGCGTGCATCAGCAGTTGAATATGACCTTCTGAAAATGATAACTACCCCTCCAAAAATTATCTGAACAGTTGTGGAAGAACTCAGCATTCCTGACTCAGCAGTCGTCCTCCATTTGGAGGAAGCTGAGAGAACGAAGAAACGTGAATTAATGCGACTTGATTGAACAAATGTCGGCGAATTCGATGTCAAGAAGTCTGTTATACATTTATTTGGCCTAGGAAAGCGAATAGTTACTCAGTGCTGTTATGAAACACGATAGAAAATAAATTCTTTGCAGTAGCCAACATTTATAGAAAAGGTTGCCATAAGATGAGAATTCTAAATATTTTCCGAGACCCAGGTTATGTTTTAGGATGGACTTCTTCATTTCTGGTAGATGGAATGATCTAACAGAATGTCTTCTATCTTGGTATAGCGACCACTTTAGTGAATTACTCTTACGAAGTGGCTTGATCATACGTTTAACAACTAGTGTTACAAGGTTCCCAGGATCGACTTTCTATTAACCTCGGCGGCATTGGAATATGAATGTGTCGTTTTCTTGTTCAGCAATCGCGAGGTTTTTAAACAGCATACATTTACTTCCATAGAAAAACACAATACAATACAACGCTAGCTGACGTTTCGGCAGTATCGCCTTCTTCAGAGCCGCTTTTTCGTGACTTCCAATGAGGAAGTTTAGGACAGTTGATTATAGTCGCATATGGTTGACGACTGGTTACGGTGTTACAAAAGCTGAATGAGTTGTGATTCCAAAGCCTGCTTTATCCCACCATACTTATCAGACCTGCTGCTAATCCACCATCACTTTTTTCAGGTATCTTGAAAACTGAAATCTAAGAAGTTACTCAACAACGAAAACCGATGTAAAAATTCCTTTTGAAGATTTTTTTGAAAGACCACTCTCGTTTCGCCTTCTCATGAACAGTCAATACCTTCATATTCCTAAGACTATATGAGATTGTTATAATTATATGAGACTTCTCATCATGGCTAATGTGTTGGCGCGTTCTTCTTTTTCAGAGCCACAATGGTTCAGATAGGTTGTCTACAGCCGTTCATTATTGCATTGTTTGTGTCTTTATAATCGTTCGAGTCGAATCTTCATGAGGAAAGCATCGCTAAAATGAAGTGACTTAACTCGACAGGGCCGTTTTATACAGGACGGTTGTTGGTTCATTGTCATCCAATGTGATCTATTTTTGAGACTTGGACGAGTGCATGAATAAAATAGACAGATACTCATACTACATTCTTGGAGCTATTCAACCATAGATAGGTTCTACTTGGATTTATTCCATTACCACGACTCCTATATCACATCCCAGATTTCAACTAGGAAAGCATCAATTCTTCGTAAAGTTGAAGTAAAATCCGAGTACAAGGAATAAGAGCGAAGCTGCAGGATTGCACAATAACCCAACTGGCTCCCATTGAGATAAAAGCCTCTATTTATCCTCACCTTTATCATCTCGTTTGAAACATACCATTAAATGTGTTGGGGTATTGATTTGCTCCCAGTCGATGACCTCACACACAGTCCTGTTCAGTAAACATCACCGATAGCGTTCTCGTGACTACGATCTGGTTTTTCTGCCCATTATGGTTTTCAGCACACTCAAGGAGATTGTTCTATCGTGTACATCATAGGAATTGATCAACCCCAATGAATTAAGCAAGAATTAATACGACAGATGTTCACGTTTTCAAACAGCAGTTCATATTTGAGTTGCAAGAACCAATAGTACTATGTACTCTCAGTCGAAACGTCCGTCACATGTGAAAAAGCAGTAGAGTCTGATAGACACCATCCTGCGGTGCCTTTACGACCATGGAGGGAATCCAACCTCCGTAGGAACCTTATCCGATTCCTACTGCAATTGAAACAGTACAGTGCATATGTTTCTTTAAAAGGTGAAGAACCGCATAGGTCTCATTCAGATCACAGACTAACTGACGAGATCGAAATTCTACTGCTTTGAGGGGAACAGATTGGTCACCACTTCTGAAACGCTATGAATATGAAACATTAGCTGACACTTTAGCGATATTTGAATTCTCATGGAGCGTATGACAGGTTTTTTTGAAAAACAGTCGCCATTGAGGGCATCAAGTTGGACTACATAGTTCAGGGTTTTGGAAACTAAATATCATCTTTTGATTAAGAGAAAGATGGAGTTTCAAAGTGAAGGAGAAATAAACTAGCTATTTATTACAGAAATATTGACGATAGATGGGTGGGAATGATGAAAATACAAAAGGATGTAATCACCCTCTTGTATGACTAATTTCATAAAGCTGGTGGACATGCTTGCGGTTCATATCAACAAGCTGCATTTGCAGTTGCTTAAAGTTTATGTGTCAGAAAATGGAATACGTTAACCGAAACAGTGCACGGTCATGGGCAATGGTCGCTGTAAAGGATAAAGGCTAAAGATTCTGGCGTTGACGAATCCCAGCGGAATACGTCCTGAATTCGATTTCTTAAGGCATCTGTGGAAGTGGTCGAACGTGTATCTCGCATACACCATAACTTTCGGTTGCCTGCCGATGTGTCTGTTCAGTACTGCTTTCCTCTTAGATGAGTTCAGTACCAATTTCAAGAAAGGGTTTAGTCCGCGACGTGGGAATGAACATGTGATCATGTGTGTGTTGCAAAGCGCGTTAAACCACTAGTGTGCATGCGCTCCAACCATTGCCGTTAAGGAAGTCAGTAGAAGTGGAGATAGTATTCACCTGGTTCAAAAGTCTTAATCGGCGGAACTCTGCTAGTACAATCTTAACCCTTTTATTTACTGCCTTTTTCTTTTTAATGGCAGGGTATGTTGCGAAATATAACTCGTATATAATGCTAAGATATTTGGAAAACTCCGGACCGCAGGTGTATGCGGTGGGGAACGAACGCGCGCTATTGTTCTTACCGGGGAGTAACACACTTCACCACCACACCATCCGGGTCCTTCGTTCTGCCAGTTTCTCAGCTAGTTCTATCGATCTTTTGCCATCAGCAATCGCCCGTCAACGGGATTGATCTGGGAGCCCAAATCGGCATTGAACCCAATTAAGCTGAGTAAATAAAAGGGTTAAGATTGTGATTATTACTAAGCCTCAGCTTAACTGGGTTCAATGCCGATTTGGACTCACCAGACAATCCCGTTGACGGATGATTGCTGATGGCAAAAGATCGATAGAACTAGCTGAGAGACAGGCAAAGCGAAGGACCCGGATGGTGTGGTGGTGAAGTGCTGTAAGTACAATAGCGCGCGTTCGTTCCCCACCGCATACACCTGCGGTCCGGAGTTTTGCAAATATCTCAGCATTCTATACGAGTTATATTCTGCAAGTACATTTTACTCTGTGTTTCAACTCGCTTCTCAGCAAGTAATATATTCTGTATATTTTATCGTACTAGTTTTCCTTTATTGTAACTGTTATGTGATTGTAATGGATATCGATCCGTAACAAATTGAGCTCACAGTGTTTCCTTTTCGATCAAACGTTTGAGTTTCACCTAATACATACGGGCGTTTTCATCAGAGATGTGTATTTATCAAAAACCGAATTTCCTTTGATCTCGATATGACTAAGGTTGTAAACTTTATTCGGCCAGCGTTTTGACGTGTTCATCTTACGCGGAGCCGATAACCCAAGCGGATGTCCACAATCCTTTATGGTTTCGATGTCTTCGTCGTTGTATATGTGTTTTTAGTTTTCTCCAATAAGAAAGCTTTCGTTAAATTCTTGTTATTATTGCACGTAAGGTGTATTCTCTCATGATTGTGCGTTCTTGACGATAGTTTCTTCCTTTTTCATTGCAGTTTTCTTTTCTTTTCTTAGGCTAAACTTCTGACGTTGTTTCAACCACTCGTTCCAGTACACCATGTCGTCAATTCAATCTGGTGGCGTATTCGCTGTCCATACGGGAAATCTAAACAATTGTCTTGAGGTTTGTTACGATTTCACTATACAATTTGGTATTGTATTTTTCATTATTGCACCATCTTATAGCACATTTTATCATGTCGACTTGTTACTGGATACTTGGACTGCCCATCCTCATTGGTTGTGTGGGCCCCAGCACAATCTCCATTTTTCGGGGTTTTGCTGGTTTAGCCGCCGTGGTTCCCTGGAGTCCATGAGGTCCTCTTGGCCAAAGTCCTCCTCAGGTTGCCACCACTATAGGTAGTCGCAGCCCTTGTGGATCAGAGGGAGATTTGCCACCATGCGACTAATTTGATATTAGGACGGTTGTGGATCCTGGTATTGGTTTACTCTTAGCTAGGCTTTCTGACAGAAACATCGGACACCTTCTCAGCTTGGGAGACCCTGCCGGGAAAGAATGCCCCGCTGTACATCGCAGTCCGACACCCGGGAAGAACTCCCAGCTACGACGAAGCGGTAAACCTTTGGGAGGCAAGTTGTTATTAAAAGAATTAAATAATTAAGTGGTGTTTACCAACTTCATTTTCACATTAAGAGGTGGGAACTGTTTCATTTAACTCTCATAGAATCCACATTCTATCTATTAATAATATCTGGTAATCTACAGCGTTTGCTTATATTTCTTATTTAAGAGTTGTTTTTTCTCATCTGTTTTCTTTCAGATCCCCAATATCAGTGTTGTCTTTTTTTCTTTTTTACTATTTTTTTTTCTTTTTCTAGTTGGTTACACGTCGTTACAAGAATTCGGCTTCTGAAATTACGGCCGCCTTTAAGTATCTGGCTGCTCAGCATTCGACAGTCATTCGTACGTCAGAAGCCGTTTTCTCGCCAAATATCGAAGTATTGCATCATCCTATGACTGATGTGAAAACTTCACTTAAGGTACAATGTCTTTGACTATGATTATTTTGGTTTAAAGCATATGTAGGTAGCCACTTTTTATTTGTTGCTTATTCTTTTTTCATGGCAGGGTATGATGTGAAATACAACTGCAGTGATGCTGTGGTATTTGCAAAATTCCGGAACGTTGGTGCCTGCGCGGTGATTGGACCTCGCTTTTACCCTTTCCTAGGGCTAACGTGCTCACACCTGTTCACTGCCGCAGACACCAGCTGTCCGGAGTTCTGCGAATATCTCAGTATCACTGTAGTTGTATTTTTAAGCAGTTTTTTATTCTTCTGTAGAATGACTTATGTTTTTTATTCGATTTATGCAGGTCTGCTTATCTTCGTTTTCTGCCGATGATGTAGGAGATGCTGTTCGAATTGCACTAGAGACACTTCAACTCGGGACATTGTCTCAACTTATAGTGTCATTCCCTCATGAGGAATCGGAGGTAAACTGAATTATGTTGTGTTTAAGACTGTTCTTTAGATGTTTTGAATCTGGGAAAAAAAGTACATCATCAAGTTTTTTCGTAATTATTGAATAGATGTGCTATACAGATGGATCAATGTACACATCACATTTACTTATCAGCTCTGTCCTCGTCACTATTAATACATTCGCGAATATATGAGTCATATGTGATTCAGTTCCATTCCAGTTGCTTATTTTTCCCGACAGAGTTGTTTTACTACAGTTTTTTACTCAATCGATAGGTTATCCAACAGAGATTTTGATATTAAGGATGATTCTAGAAATGCTATGCTCAGAACGGATGTCCTCCGTGTACTTCTTTCACTAAAATCTAGAAATTAAGGACTTCTTTTCGCTGGAATAAGATAGAAAACCATTGAGAGGATTTGTATGCGTGTAATAGTACTATATTCGCATATTCTATATCGTAGGAACTAATGTACGTGGCAAATAGGCAAATAGGCTACGTGTTCGAGGGTATCCACGTTGTAAACATCCTGATCAACGAAATTTATTTTACGATTCATAATTCTTGCAGGTTTACTATTACACTTATATAATTTACAATCACTTCAGTTCGTAACATTTTCAATACATACTTTTTACACTTAATTTACCAGTAATACAGTGTGTGGCGCGTATGGCGCAGTGGTCGGAGGTGTCCTCCCTGCGACACACACATGGGATCGATCCTCGCGCCGTTGATTAACCAAGTCTTCCATCCCTCCGGGATTGGCAAATTGGTACCATACTTGTTTGGGAGGATTACAGCACTGGCTGGATACATCGGCAGACCATTGCGAGTCGTAAAGGCCAAATATCGCAATATATCGTCTCCAACTATGCTTACTGAAGTCGGATGCATGGCGCATCCATCAGGGATTGGTCAACACCGAGAGTTTTTTTATTACAACGTGATGTCTCTAGCATTAACACTTTAGGTAACTCGTTGAAGCAATCTGAGCGGAAATATTTTCTGTTTAGTTATATTGCAGTGTCCACGTTTTTCAGACGCATTGAATCCGGCGCTAGAGTCATGACATTTTGTCATTTTCTTATGACAGCCAGCATCTTTTCAAGCGACTTCGCTACTTGATACCGTAGGAACACTGATTATTTGGAGAAGAATTAAATGCACTTATGTCTTGAACTTACTTATCGCCCTCTTCTGTCCAGTCCCATTGCTGATCTCCACGCCCTCACCATGCTTTTTTTGAGTTAGCAAGTGGAAAAGCAGACGAACGACGAATACTTCTATGTTATCATTTTAGCACCATTACGTCACACTGATTCCGTTGTGCTACAATTTGCCATTTCAACAGCTTTTATCTGACGACTTCCTTAAGGAACCCTTACTTATTCTTCCTGCCCATGGCGCCTATCCAATCTGCTTTTCTGTGAAGCAGTCTGTGAGTGGGTCAGATATAGGTGCCCGTCATGATCTAGTGAGCTATCCCTATTAGATTCCTGCTATTTTCGAAGAGCTCTAAACGGATAAGCCATAAATTTGTGTGTGTATTCGCGTCGTTTACATATTTTGGACAAGTTTCCTGCTTCCACTGTCGTGCTTATACCTATCATGAGGTATAGGTACACTTTAGCGGAACCAAGTTTCTTTGTGTACCTACCTATACCCATCGGTACACACAGTTCTGCTGGTTTGTTGTAGACGCATTCGAAATTCTTGTTCACAAGTTTCACGGGACTTCTGACCTTGTTGGTTTTGTGTTGTCTGTGATAGGTTACGTTGTCTTTGTAGTAGTGATAAATCAACATCTTTTAAAATCTGTACTTTAAAAACATTGGCTCAAAGAGGACCGTCTCCGTAAGCTGAGTTGGTACTGCCTTATTTCCTCGACCGTGATAAGTTAACTATTACCTTTTGAAGGCACAGACTGTTGAATCGTCTTATTTTTGCTATAGTTTTCTGTTATCACAACAGGTTCTCTTGTTAACCGTACCACCTACCATAAGTGATTCGTAAAAATGCGCTGTTTCTGAGCAGTCAAGTAAAAATTGTCCATCAACGTTACGCGACTGTAAATGAAGTTCTACCGGCTGTAGTACAATTCATTGCTTAACCAATCACTGCTTACTAATTGACCAATAGCGTTTCATTCATTGTCTGATCCAATTCGTACACATTCTTAATAGAAATGCACTAGAGATTCCTCATCCTCATCATTGTCGTCTTCTTCACTTTCGATGAGATAGATGTAGGAAAAAGGAAGTATAGCGAACGAAAAGTAGAAATGTGGTCAACGAAGCACATATATTATGGAGAAAAAAGTGCAACAGAGGAGGTGGAGTCGTCCGAGGTGGAGTCATCCGCTGGCATGGGACACGACGGGCCGTATGGTTCCCATGTGATTCACAGTGTGCGTGGTGATAAACTAGATACTGTTCGACGCGCACTCCACACTAAAGTAGACATAATCACGAATGTGCTATTATTGTTTTCTGTCTTTTTCTGGTGGAAGATTCTTCTGATTATAGTCTTTAACTTTGTAGGTTCATGATTGTTCCGAAATTCTATAGGTTGGCAACAGAATTCTACTGAAAAATTTCCAACACTCGTGACTGTTTTTGTTTCTAATTCGCTACATCCAAGTTCGTATTTTATACCATGGTAGAGGAAACAGTGTAATTCAGTGAAATTATCTGTTTTCTTCGTTCATTTCAAATGCGACAAAGAGTTCCTACGTTTGACAAGAACACGAACAACGCTCTCTGTCTTGACGCCCAACTGAATTGGATTTGTAAGTGCTCAAAGGGCACGTTAGCTTGTATTCTGATCTAGTTAAGTTCTAGTTGGTGGCTAGTCTAGAAGGTAAGATCGCACTCTCTAAATCTTTTATTGGAAAAGAATTGCAAAGACTTCGTGCTAGTACAAAATTCTTCTCGGGCAGGAAGAGTAAAGTGTGACTACTACAATAAGAAATAAATATTCTACTCTGACTTTGGAACTGGACATAGCATAAGCTTTGCTGGCCAATATGATCTGGTTTTTTACGGAATGTTTATGCATTCAAATGTTTATCGAAGACCGTTGTAATAACTGAAATATGCCATTATTAGTTGATTAACTGAAACCATTAGCGATTCAAGAGGTCGTGTGCGCGAGTAGATTAACTTAGTGAAAGTGTAGTCCGTATAATGCGAGGTTGAATCACGAGAAGCCAATCTGGATGGAAAATTCTTTCTCGGTCTCCGTGCAACTTTTGCCTAGTTTCATCGAAGTACCGGCTCTTAAGATCGCCTCACCGTCGTCGTTGTCGAAGCATAATGGGTTCAAAGGAGGTCATAGCAAAGATAGTTGACAAATTCTTCAAGTCGGTGCAATATGATTTCTACACTGATGGTGGGGAATCACCAAAGGATCAATGGACCAACCTAATTCCCATATCATTGTGGGTATATCTGTGAGTGAAGTTTGTTTCGTTATCCGCCCTGATGAACGAGTATAGGAATATCATTACATCCCGCCATGATTTGAAATTGATAACGAGAAGGTTCTATACCAATCTTTCCCGGACCACAACCTTCGTCTGGGACGCCGAAATCCCGCTAGTGAAAAACCGCCCGGGATTTTACCTTTTAAAGTTCGAGTTGCAATAGAAAGCATGAAGAGAAGCACAGCTGCAGTACTCATTAATACCACCCCAAATTTCCTTAGAGAACTGGAGGCACAAATTGCACCTGCTTCTCGCAACCCACAGCGTATCTTGACGTCAGCAAGAGAAAATCCCAGGTCTGTGGATGAGGTCGTGCGCTTTCATCCTGCCCAAGGAAGGTGACCGAAAAGATCTCCATAGTTATCCTCCAATATGTCACTGAGTATACTGTACAAGCTCTTGACGAAGGTTATCGTTTTGCGAATATCGAAGACTTTGTATGAGGCACAACCAGTTGAGCACGCAGAATTTTGGTGTATGGACCACATCCGAGCTGTATCTGGGGTTACACAATTTCGTTATGAATACCACCTGCCTATAGTCCCGACTTTTGTCGACTATGAAAATGGGTTCGAGAGGACGAAACGAATACAATTCTATCAGTGCTCGTCGGCTAAGGAGTGGGCTGGTCCCAGATACCCACAATTGCTGAATGTTATTGAAGCAGCAGAACAAATGTACAGGTTTTTCATCGACCTCTCACCATACCCACGGGAAAAGGGGTACGACAAAGTCAGATAGGAGAATGTTGCCAAAGCTGTTTACTGCCGCTGTGTTGTGGATAATGAAGTCACTCGATTGGAGGAAGAGGGGCATACATATTAACGGAAAATTTGTATCAAATTTTCATGAATAGGGCGAAGACCCAATTCAAAAAGAACCTATAGTGTTAATGCGTCCAAATCGAACAAAATGGTTTTCTGATTATAGAGACCACCTTGTACGTGTACCTTCGTCGTTTAATGAACATGGAGAACGACATGAATAACAAGAAGGAGAGCAGCATGGGCCGCATTTTGCCGCTCAGGGAAGCCACCGACCAACCATTGGACCCAAAACTCCGCGCTTTTCTTGATTCAACAGTTCTCCTGTTATGCAGCAAGAAGGTGGACACACCACCCACAAAGAGCTTGGGTAATTTCTTCTGAAATTTAACTGGCATTCACAACGTTTAGCCGGAATGCACAGCTCAGATCTTCGAAACCTATCCCATCTTCAGCTTCAAGGAGAATATACATCGATAATACAGGTGTTTTGGCCATATTGTAAGACGAACAGGTGACAGATGGGCAGAAAGAACAGTGGAAGGGATTCCAAGAAAATGCAAGCGTCCTAGTGGGAGAGTACCCAAATGATGTGCGGACATGTTCGTGGCTAATGTCATCCACCTTCGTCCGCAGATAGAAGCGATTTTAGGAGTTCGAAATGGGTCTCACGGAGGTCGCTATATTCGATGCAGACGACCGCGACAGACGACGAATGCACAAATGAGAAACGAATGGGATTTGTGCCTAGGCTCGCTACACTAGTGAATACGAGGCATTTAAATATCCAGGTAAGGAATTCCTTTTCTGTAGAATGAGACACATATCCTTAAAAGTATCACTTTATAACAAAATCTTGTTTCCAATCTCTACATAGTTATTGTGGGTATTCACTACCTTAGGTCATTCAGTTTTTTAGATCAGTCGGTTGAAGTTTAGATTCTATCGATATCTGTTAGTGTTTAAGGATCTTTCCGATGACTGTTGGTTGCGAAAAGTGACTCCTATTTGGTCAACCGTTGAGTCGCTAGTCAAAAAAGAAGTTGTTCATTCAGTAGGTTAGCCTATTTTTTAACATTTCTCTTTAGTCAAGGAATAAAATGGTCTGAGATTCTTCTTGATCTTTATGTGATTTTTTTGAATAAATGCATGCCAAATACTAAGTCATTTTAGGAGTATCAGATCTCGACGTAGATCGATTACGGTTGCTTTCTGAAGCGGCTAAAGAAAGTCCGCCAACGATTGACCACTACAGTATTGATGGTTGTTGTACGGTAGGTTAAATTTTAGCCTTAGGAATGGTAGCTATAGTGTTGTTAAAAGACGATTTTTATCATAAAATACTGTTTTCTAAGGTTGTTCAACTGAAGAGTTATGGTGCAATTCCATCTGTAACTTGTTTTCTTTATTAGTAGAGGTCTTATTTATTAATGCTTTAGAATTATTACCGACCTCACACTTGGAAGAACATGTGTGTTTGATCTCTTCGCTAGAAATTCCTTCATCTATTGGATTTGGAGATTTAGCCCAATTTAAAACATTCTCGACGATATGCATTTGTTCAAGTCCGTATTCTCCGTTGGCAATTTTTTTCAGTCTTGCGGAAATTTAAATTAAAAAGCAACTGATATTATACAAGAATTACCTATAAGCTTAGCGGAATTGTTAACAGAGCAGCTTTTTCTGTGAATATATCAAGTTTCCACTTTCTTAAATACTCTCGTTGCAAAATTACTACCAGTTATGGAGAAACCAGCACGGTTGTGACGACTATCAGAATTGATTCGAGAAATGCAAGGTATTGCTTTATATAACCACAGTGATGCTGAGTTATTTGCAAAATTCCGGAGCGCTGGTGTTTGCGGTGGAGACTGACCCATCTATTACCCTTTGCGAGAGCTAACGCGTTCACCACCACACCGCGCGGATCCTTCGTTTCGCCTTTCTATCGGCCGTCTTATTGACCATATTTCGCATACTATCAGACCATTAAAAATTAGTAGGCAGCAGATAAAAACTAGCGACATTATGATTTATATTATGGCTTTAGCTTAACTAGGCTCATGCCGATTTGTGCTCCCCAGATCAATCGCTTTGACAGGTGATTTCTGATAGCGCCTATAGGTCAACAACTTGGTTGAGAGAAAGGTGAAATGAAGGACTCGCACGCTGTGGTGGTGAATGCGTTATCCTCCGGAAAGGGTAATGGCGTGTTCGGTCCCCAACGCAGACACCAGCGGTCCGGAGTTTTGCAAATAACTCAGCATCATTGTGGGTATATTTCACATAATACCCTGCCATTAGAAATTAGTAGGAAGTAAATAAAAATTGGCGATATTGCCTTATAGTTTTGTGATGAGAGATCTCTACAGAGTCTTCTCATCGTATTAGATATTGATGTTCAACGCTAGTAATGTCAATAATGTAAGGATACAATGACGTGTTTAGGGTCGGTACATATCAATAACAGTTTTCTCTGGCGCTTCACCAACCCGTTTACTGTATTTTGGTTATTCACAGACAGATGATGAATGTTTCATGAATTACAGGTACCTAAGGAGTTAGTAGATTACGCAAAAAGTCATGACATTCAACTGCTCACCCATAACGATCCCAGGAATCTTGAACTAGATGCAGACGTAAGTTTGGTGTCGTTCAGTTTAATTCTCTTATCCGTTTCATTTTCTCCTTATTTTTATCCATTCATTCATTTCGTATTCATCTTAATGTACATTTATTTCCTCCTGTTGTTTTATATTTCGAGGTGGAGATTTGGACCCACCGAAACCGAAATGTTTGTAATTTGAAAACAACAAATATATGATCCTTTCCGGTTGATTTTTCCTTTTGCTAAGAGCTATTGCTTAAGGTTATTGATTCAGTCGATAAAATCACTGGATCTGGAAAGAATCTCTCAACTAGATGGGCATCTCGGTACGTAAGAAGTTTTACTTTGTTTCATTTTTGTTATATTCCTGGAAAAGAGTCAAGAGTTATTTAGTTTGGTTTTGTGTTAAGCTATACGATATGGATACGAAGTCGATCTGTAATGGCTGCTAAAGGATATCTAGTCTCTTTTATGAAACACTGATTTCTACTGAGCATTTCAACAGAAACTTCATTAATATTATAACGATAATTTGATTATGATGCAAGTTTTCTTCTTTCGAAGTGAACATAACTGATATTTTCTCTTTTACTACTTCTTCTTCCTTCTTACGATTTAAAGCAGTTGCTTTGGTGATCTTATCATAAGCTGTTTTCCGAGTTTCTATAAGTTGGTCGAGTTTGTCGTTAAATATTTCTAGAATTCTACTTAATAAAGCCATTTCATACCAGTGAAGTTCTTAAATTTTTAACTTTGTTCTAAGAAACAGCACGAACGACAGCTTTTTGAGCTGTTTCTGCCTTTGATGAAATGGCATCATCAGGTGGTCATAGCGGTTTGGCTGGATCTTTGTGCAGGATACATTCTGAACATACTTAAGTACTAAATCAGACCTACCTGAGTATGTCTACATACATGCGAAGGCTGTAAATCAATCTGGAACAAGGAAGACACTGAAACCGTCCATTGAGTCCATAATCCTGTGAGGCAAGTCCATGATTTCTTTTATCCGTTACTGACCTCGTATCCTCCTTCTGAACGTACCATATGGATTGAATTTGAAATCCCTGTCTTCAGGAAACCACGCATTTAGATAACTGGAAAAAATGTATGTAGTCCGTCTATGTTACCCTTTCTATTTGTGAAAACTGGAGGACCAGCCCGGATATGAATTATAAGTACTTGATATATACAAACTTCGTGAAAGGTAGAAATCATTTGCTATAAACTAACCAGAGGGCATAGATCAGTTTGAAAAACCCTCTCAGTGGCCCACAATCTCGTCACAGATTGGAGGTCTTCACAGACGACAAACTATGATGTACAGAGTGATACGTTTTGCATACAGAGAATGAATTCAATTTTTATGTCAACATGTTCACGTAGAGCTAATGGAATGCCATAATTCATCGCTGTATGGTCACAAAGTGACAACTCTACCTCTCATCGACAAGTACCGGCAACGTTCAGTGGGAACGACATGGAAAGGGTATCTTGGTACTCCAGAGAAGGGCATTTGTAAAGCCCATTTGGAATTTTTTGTGCTGATGGAATAGATCATTCGAATGTAAAGGAAATAGAAAGTGGAAACATTTCATGCCATATTCATAAAAGATTTGTGAATTAAGAGAACCGTTTATACGAGCCTCTGTAAACATCGCCATTCCTCTTTTGTGTCAGCCACTATTAAAACAGGGTAGTGGAATAGTAATGGATTCAGTCGGAGGGATATCATCGCGTGTCTTAACATACTTCGATACTCACCGCCATCTTCAAGTTCCATTCATCCATTACCAATTCCACAAAGTTCTCCGAATTCTCTCTATTTGTATCAGATATCAGATTAGAAGCAATCGATTTTCGCTGTTATAGTTTTGGATGTGAAATGATATAAGCTTAGCAGATAATTCAAAAGAACGACTTTCTATGAACCTCGGCATGAATAGTTGATATATTTATTTATATGATCTTATAAACTGATCTTGTTGAGCTGATGCGAGGTCGATATAAGTTGTCGTTGTTGTTGGTCGATGGTTAACGATTCGGCGATTTCGCCTTCCTCAGAGCCGTGCTGTTACAAATGGGACTCGGATACCGACGGAGTCATAGCTTATAAAAACATATATCAACCTCACATCAGTTCATCAAGATCAGTTTATAAGATCGTATAAATAAATACAGTTAGATATTCTATTAATTATGTTTCAATAGGATCTCGATGAGATCTCACAAAACTTTGCATCACGTCAAACTTCTTAACCACCAATATGTAGGATGAAGTTTTTCTAATGAGGCGAAGGGGGTTGTTCGTTTATGGTAAATTACTTATAAGTTCACTTGCTATTGGTCACGTCTACCTATTTTCAATAAGGTCCAGGGAAGTAAGGTGGTATTAGGCCTGATTTGGATATATGTCCTGTCCAGGTAGTTAATGATAAACACTGATCTAAAAGCTGTTGTACACTGTTTATTGGTCATAACGTATCGTAATCAAGGTTATGATCTTCGATCTTCGATTTGGTATTAACCCACATCATCCATGAGGTGTATTGATGATATGCGTGTCATGATGAATAGTTACTTGGATACTTGAACGGCTCACTGGTTGTGTTAGCCCCAGCATATCCTCCATTTTTTGCAATTTTTCTCGTTTAGCCACTGTGTTTCCCTGGAGTCCCGAGGTGAGCCTGGCCAAAGCCCTGCTCCAGGTCGTCGCCACCACAGTCAGCTGCCGTTCTTGTGGATCAAAGGGATATTTGCCACCATGTTTGATACCAAGACAGTGGTGGATCCTGGTATTGGTTTACTCTTAGCTGGGCTTCCTATTGAAAACGCCGGACTCCTTCTCAGCTTGGGAATTTTGCCGTGTGGACGAATCCCACTGCTGTACATCGTAACCCGACACCATAGAACACCTCCCAGCCACGTTGAGGCGGCAAACCGTTGGGAGAACCCGTGGAAATGAATATGAATAGATATGTCATTCATCATTTTACTCAGTTGAAATCTCAGTCTGATTTCTACATCGTTAAAATAATGAGTCTTATGAACGTAACTTCATGGCATCGTTAGCGTTCGATCCACTAGCCTATCTATGCAAGACGAGCTCGTATTTACTAATTAAGTATGCAATTTGGCCAATGTGACTCCAGCGTTTTTACGAGTGATATGGCATGCATCTTAAGTTCTACTGACAGAATTCGTAAACACATATTCCTAGTATCATATATAGTGCTTATTAAATTTGCAAATTAAACCGTGATGTCTTCAAGCTTAACTAAAGGTTTGCTCTACTAGTTATCATGTTACACAATAGTTTATCGCCCATCGACGGTGGTTATAGTTTTGAATCTAGATAATACTGTGGATTTTGGTACTTTTGAAGTTAAGCAACATAGTGGAATTTTATCGTCCACCTGGTTAAAGCAGAAACCACTGCATGATTCTGGGTGCTTTCACGGATTTTCATGAATAGTCATCAGACTAAGACTAGTTGCTGTCTACCAGTTGTATTTTTGAGTCTTGATCATAGACTGTTAAGCTTAGTACTGTCTCACTAAGCGATTAAGCATAGACTAATTCCAGCAAGTATCAGAGAATTCATGGTTCCCCGTCACACACTTGAACTTCTTATGTGTTAAGGTCGATCAGTCTACACTAAAAGCGTTAGTTTTTTGGTAGAGTGTTCTTGCTTCAAATGCTTTTGATAACTAGATAGTTGAGGGTAGCACGCCTGTAGCACAGATGTGCTCCTAAATGAGTTTCCAGGTGGAAATGACGAGCTTATTACCAGTTTGATGACCCTCTAAGAGAATGAACAACTTCCGTAGCAGTTTCAAGCCAATAGTAGTACTAGTCGTCTTATCATCGTATCATATTGGCTAATGTGAAGTTCCTCGTTGTGAGCTCGCTCGGCTAATCGTCGTCAGTTCATATAAAATCCCAAGCGGTTCATTGCCCTCGTGTCGCTATATACACAAACACACAAATTCACTGCGAATAATTCAACAGTCGACCTCGTTGACAACACGTCCCGTTTGTTTTCATCACTAAAGGGCTTCGTAATTGAGCTAACATATTGATTTTACTATCCTTTTTTTCATTTTATTAACTTCATGATGTAGTTCTTCTTTAACGAATATGGTAAGGAAGCCTACGAAATAAGTTACTAAAGTGTTCATTTACAATACCGTGGTAGACGATGCATAGAGATACTTCACTAGTCCCACCATAACGAATATGACTGAAGGATACATGATAAAGCGTTCGGTGTCGATCAATCTCTTATAGAACCACTATGAATTCTAGTTGATTCATAGCATCGTGGACGTATTCGAATGCGTAATTTCTTGGAATATGTTTTTATACAACTCATCTTTTACATCTACTCCGTGGATCCCAAAGCTTCTTGCATTCGATTCGTTTCCTCACATCTATAATCCACGAAGGTCTTCTAACTTTAAGATGTGGCTTCGACTACTGCTTGAGAATTTTCCTTTCATTATGAACGTCATTGAATTCTAGTCGAGTCAACTTTCACTGGGCTCCTAAGACACCGGGCTAGAGCGTTCCCACTTTTGTTGCAGAGAGTGATTTTTTTCCCGCACAAGTTCGGTAATGGGATCGAACCAGCACAGTGCTCGTGATGACTAGCGCCACAACTATTGTAACACCCTCTTCCTCGAGTGCATATTTACTTTATACAATGACTTATGGGAACTTATCGCTGCTCTAAGGCACTGTTTTCATGCTTCCTGACAAGACTGGTACTAGTTAACCTACCGCGGAGAAATAGAATGCATGGAGAGCCCAGACGCGGAGTCGAAACCATCACCATTTTTCTATTGGGGGGGCACCTATAGCCACGCCTGTATACGAACTCTGAATAATATTTTAAGTACTGATTGATGTACTGATGATGAAAGGCGAAATCCGCCGAAACGTCAGCTTAATCGTGAACAAGGAATAGTAACACCTCGCGTTTGCTCAACAAAAATACGAAGAAAATCACTTGATCAATGCCGAGGTTAATAGAAAGTCGGTCGTGGCAGTTACTGATGATTGCGATTAATCACCCTTCATATTGACGAGGGAATGTTAATATGTGTCTCGAAATGTTTTCAGCTCTCGTGAAATTCTTCCAGAATTGCCGCCACTTTTTAATTAACGAATGTGTTAGCGTCCTCATTCAATTTCTACAGCTTCTTCAGTAATGTCCACATTCGCAGCAAACATTGTTAAAAGTGTATTGAGATAGTTCTTAGGATCGACTTAACACCATAATTATGACTTTCTCCTGAAGTGTACTATGATTATGAGTAGACTGCATTGATTTTTTCTTTATGCGTAGTAAGACATCTTTCGTTTCTAAGGAAGTGAGGTCTTGTTCAACTAGCAGGAATAATCGCAAAGAACAACGACAGCATTCGATTCCGTGTGTTTGTTCCTATCGTGACTGTAGCACTTTTCCAATTAATCATCCT